ATGATTCCCTAACCCTAACCCTAACCCTAACCCTAACCCTAACCCTAACCCTAACCCTAAAAGTGGACTCAATTTGCACTATTTGTGGCAGTCAGCAATCCCCCTTACTCACCCTTTCCCTCTCCTCCTGAGGTATTTTCACTGAAACAAAGGTAAACAACAGCCTGTTTTTGTTCCTTCTCTGCTTGCACAAATTGCAAATCCCATACAAAGCTTTGACTGAGTTCTGTTAGGTTTGGAGGAAAGCCCTCTTTGCCTCAGAAAATGCCAGAAGCTTCCCAAAGAAGCCTGATCAGGTGCAGGATTCAGGCTTTGTATAAATCTCAGACACTTCCCAAGCATCCAACCTCTACCTGCCTCATTACCTCTCTAACAATGCTCTGTAGCTGCTGAATGTGTCTCTGGCATGCGCTGTATTCTCTAGCCGTTTCATCTCTCTGGCTGCATCCGCACTACAGAAATAATTCAGTGTGACATCACTTTACCTTCCATGGCTCAATGCTATGGGATTCTAGGAATTGTAATTTCTTGTGGCACCAGATTATTTCTGCAGTGCAGATGCAACCTCTCTCTCTCTCTCTCTCTCTGTTGTTGGTTGCAGTTTGAGATTTGGTTTAACCCACATCTCAAGAGTATTGCTGGTGATCTTGGTGGAGATGAGCAAAATGAAGCTACAGAAACAGAACTCCACAAGCTGTCTTGTAAGGATCTAAACCAAACTTGATAGTGAGAAGTTCATCCACCAGATTATTTCTGTATTATTTCTGCACCTCTTTTCCACCTCCTTCCCATCGTCACTTCTGCAACTCTGAACTGTGTTTGCTTCCAGATTCCCCTGTGTGTGTATTTATTTATTGTATTGATTAAAAAAAATTTTTTCAGCAAAGGTCCCCAAGCTAGTGTACACAGTATTTTGTATTGATTAAAAAAATTTTTTTCAGCAAAGGTCCCCAAGCTAGTGTACACAGTATTTTAAAAAGAACTATACAAAGACTAGAATCCTGCCAGTGATTTAGGAGATTACTACACATGGCTTTTAAACAGCAATTATAGTTGGGAAAAAAACTACCTTTGGAGATATTTATCTCTTAGGTTGTCTCTGTGTTTCCAATTCTCATTTATCTTATATTATCTCATATAAATGGCTACTCCAACCCATAGCTGCTGTGCCTGTGAAGCGATGTTGGAGCATCCCTTTTCATTGATGGGAAAAACCTGTCAATACGCTCCCAAACATGCTACAGCCTCTATCAGAAGGTTTGCCTCTGGTGATCTTGTGTAATGCTGTCATTAGAATGTGCTGTTCCACCAAAAATAAATCAGACCTTACCTGTTTACTTTACTTTCCACCAAAAGTAAATCAGATCTTTCCTTTCCTTTCCTTTCCTTTCCTTTCCTTTCCTTTCCTTTCCTTTCCTTTCCTTTCCTTTCCATTCCATTCCATTTAAGTAGAAAACTTCTCTTACTTTATTCCTCTCCTCTCTTTTCCTTTTAAGTAGAACACCACTCTTTATTTTATTTTATTCCTTTCCTTTCCTTTCCATTTAAGTACAACACCACTCTTCGATTTATTTTATTCCATTTCTTTCCATTCCATTTAAGTAGAACACCACTCTTACTTTATTCCTTTCCATTTAAGTAGAACACCACTCTTCCTTTACTCCTTTCCTTTCTTTTCAAGTAGAACACCACTCTTACTTAAAAGTTGGTCAGAAATATAAATGGCTGAAATACCAAGTAGATTGCTGCTTCTAAGGGTTGCATATGTGTGCGTACCTTTATACCATTAACATACCTTGAGACATAGAACCCTCTACGTATAAAAGGACATTTAGAGTTAGATTTACTAACCCCTTCGCCTCTTGTATTTCTTGAGTGTGTGTGTAAATTTTGGGTCTATGGACTGTAATGAATTATGACAGACTGACTATATCTATTAAAACTCCTGGCACGTAGGCTTCTTACGAATAGACTTCCATATCCTGCCTGCTCTTTGCCCTTTGTGCCTTGCGATCAATAGTGCTGGATCTGAGAGCAGCTGTTTTCCACATGTCTGTCTCCATCCATCCATGCTGAGCTCATGTCACAAAGGCCGGGCAAGACTGCGGACAGAGGTTGTGTCCTCTTTGGCCCTGTGAATTTTGAATGAGTGACTCAGCTGGCTGACTCGAACATGAACTTCTGCTATGCCTTCCTCCCATTGTCTGCTTGTACAATCTGATACACTTTCTGGCACTGGACAGAGATTGTGAGTGTGATATCCTATTGTTTCATGGAACTGTCACCTTGATCTGGTTACCCAGCAGCAATACCTCCATGCATGGCGGTGTCCCAAGGCAACCACTGGACCTGTCCTATTTCAATAATCCTTTTTGGAATCAAGAAACAGGAATGTTCAATACTAGCAAGAGGTGCAAAGTCCATGTTGCAGTGACACTTCTGTTGTTGTGTGCTTTCAAATCATTTCTGACTTATGATGACTCCAAGGAGACCCAATCATGGGGTTTTCTTGGCAAGATTTTTTTCAGAAGGAGTTTGTTTTTGCCTTCCTCTATGGCTGAGAGGATGTGACTTGCCCAAGGTCATGCCTAGCAAGAAAAAAAACTATCTAAAAATTCAACTCCTTCCCTGCCTGCCCTTGATTGTAAAAAAGGAGGCCTTTCTGGGCCTAAAATGAATCAGAGGTGCCTAAAAACATGATAAGAATACCCTCACATCACTTGGATGTAAAATTTGGTGTGGGGGGGGAGGGTTGCATGAGAGATGTAGGGCAAGGGATGAAGCCTTCCAACTTGCCCTGGACAGCTAATGCATCCCTGTAGCCTCCAACAGTAGCCCAGCCCTGATTTAGCAGTTGTGGTGTGACCAGAGATATGCAAAAAGCAAATATTTAAGATACCTAACTGTTCTGTCTTCAAGCAAATCCTCTGATCAGAACCCACTGGTGTTCTTCAATTAACATAAATTAAATATCTGAGGGAGCGTAGATTTATACTACACAAACACAATGCAAAATCTCGGCAAAGTGTCACGTAGCACAATTACATATGGAGATGGATGCTACAAAGGGAGCACTAGTGGTGCAGTAGTTAAATGCTGGTCCTGCAGCCATAAGGTTGTGAGTTCGATCCCAGAGGGCTCCAAGGTTGACGCAGCCTTCCATCCTTTCGTAGGTTGGTAAAATGAGTCCCCAGCTTGTTGGGGACATTAGGATTACAGATTTTAAACTGCTTAGAGAGTGCTGAGTTCACTAATAATTATGCATATAAATGTACATGCTATTGCTACAAACTCTAATATAGAATCTTGACCATTGACACCTTGGGGAATTCAACCAAGTTTCTTGTTGACCTGCTAGTCATCGAAGCTGTTTCACAAGAACAAATTGCATTACTTCTCTGTGCATGTGTTCTTTTCCTCTGCTGAGGTTCCCTGGGATGTTGGCCTTTGTCTTTGCAAACGCTTGGATGGGAACGTAATAAGAGCTGGGGAGAAAGAGATGTGCTTGGAGTTCCAATGAGATGTGAAAAGCAGAACCATTTATTAATTTAAGTAGAGGTCAAGGGCAACTTTGATAAGGAGATTTCAAGGAGCCAATTGGGCATTGTGATCTATTATTTATTCATACATTTTTATATATAAATCAATTGGATGACTTAACACCAACAGAGACAGGGTTGAAGCCACTTCTAATGAGGATCTTGAGCATGGGGAAAACTTCTAAGCATTCTTTGTAGCTAATTTTGCTTAATAGGGGAGGCATGCCAGTCTTGATTCAATGGAGACTGGAGAAAGAGAAAGAGAGAGTGCATAGGAGTCTTGTGGGCTTTATACCAGCATATAATCTTTGTGCTACTTCTCCCAGAATCCCCCAGTTAGCATGGCACTACAGTCCCTGGTGGCTTCCGGCTCTGGACTTAGGGCAGACATTGAGTTTTACAGCAGTGCCTCTAGGGTTTATGGGAGCTGTTCATATAGTTACAACATTTAATCTTGGGATTGTTGAGGCATTATGTCTTTGCAAAATCCTACTAAGGTCACAAAGGCTGGTTGTTAGTCCTAGATGGAGTAGACCCATTGAGTTAATGGGTTTTACACAAGTGTTTGCAATAATTGAGTTAATGGAGTTTGCTGTAGTCAGGACTTCCAGCAGCAGGGATGGGAATCACACCACTCTCCAGATATCATTGGACCACAACTCACATCAACCCTAGCCTGCATAGTCAATGGTGAAGAATGCTGGGACTTACAGTCCAACATCCTTTGGAGGGCTGAATGTTTCCCACTCATGCCTAATAAGGCTGCTTCTGGAGATGACTGGAACTGAGCTGCCCATTGGATTTCAAGATTGGCAGTTCTAAACATATGCATGCAAATATGTATTTTAAATATAGACACTTCCAGAGGAGTTCTTTTCAAAGAGAACATCCACACACAGAGATGAATGAAGAGCAGATGGGCATCACTGGTAAAAACAGGCCCAAAGTTTGTGGACTACAAATAGACAAAGCCACCCATATCTAATTCTATAATAATATTCTAATTCTGTAATAATATTATACCTTTAAATATTATCATTCCAACTTCATCCGGTGAGCCTTAGAAATGTGCTCCATATGCCAGCTCTTTAGAACTTGTTCCCTTTGAATGTTTGGTAGGCAGAATTTTCTCCTCTCTTTCAAACTTTGCCTTTAGAGATTAGATTAATTGAGTTCTCCTTGCTGTGGGTGGTCTCAAAACTCAGTAATGGCTTGGCTCCCAATACCTTTGGCTTGTGATCCTCAGTTGCATTATGAAGCAGACCCAGAAGTGGGCATGGTCTGGCCTCTGGGCTATATCCAGCCCTTGAGATCCCTCCCAGCCTATATATATATATATATTCTGTGTGTTTTAGGGCAATTTTTGTTGAAAAACCCTGCAGAGAGCTGCCAAATGCATGAAAACAAATGAAAATACTCCACCTCGCTTCCACAGCACTCCACAATCCCAAATTATCCTCAGACAGCATGGCATAGTGGTCTGAGTGTTAGACTGAGACTCTAGACACCAGGGTTCACATCCCAGCTTGGCCATGGAAAGCCATTAGGTGGCATTGGGCAAGTCACGCTCTCTCAGCCTCAGGGGAAGGCCACATCAAACCTCTGAACAAATCTTGCCAAGAAACCCCCATGATTGCTTCACCTTAGGGTCACCATAAGTCAGAAGCTACTTGAAGGCTCACAACAACCTGTTTTCCTCTGAGGTCTCTCTCAAAATGGCAAAAGAAATGATCAGTATAGGATCTCCAGATAAAGCATCCCAAGGAAATAGCTGGCCAGCCCCTTTCTGAAGGCATCCAGAGAAGGAGGCCCTACCACCTTTCTAAGCAGTTGTTTCCATTGCCAAACTGCTCTCATTGTCAAGAAGTTCCTTCTAATGTTACAACTAATGTTCCTATAACGTAAAACCATTGGACCTAATTCTACCCTCTGAAGGTTTCAGGGCTGGGGCAGAATCCTATGGGAGAAACAGAGTCACTTAGATTACCTGGACCCAAGATGGGAAAGGCTTCGCATAAACCTAGAGAGCCAGTATGGGGTAGTGGTTTGAACCTTGGACTACCATTCTGGAGATCAACGTCTGAATCCTGCTTGGCCATGGAAACCCACTGCCTGAGTCACACCCTCTCAGCCTCAGAGGAAGGCAAGGATAAACCTCTACTGAACAAATCTTGGAAGAAAACCCCACAATAGCTTTGCCTTGGGGTTGGCATAAGTGGGAAATGAGTGAAGGCACACAACAATAAACAAAGCTTGTGTTTTCAAAGAGAGGTATTCCTTTTCCTCCATCCCACTCCGTTCTCCAGTGGTGCATGACAGCAGGTTGCGTTTGAGTCCAACCAGGCTATGATGCCACACAGGAATCTTGTTTTCAAACACGTATATATATATATATATATATATATAGAGAGAGAGAGAGAGAGAGAGAGAGAGAGAGAGAGAGATTAGAACTGCCATCCATCATGTGCCTAGTGTAAAGTTTTAATAATGCTGAGGTTCTGCAGGTGACCATCTGGAGCACTGTGCTCATATTTCAAACAATATCAGTTAAGCAACCCTGTGCTTCTTTATTTATATACTCCTTGCCAGACTCCTTCCTCAATCCCACCTGCAAAGTGCTGGTTGTTTTCCCCTCTGTCCTTAAAATGCTCATCTGCTTCTGATATCCTCAGTTTCCAACTGAACAGATGGGGGAAATGGGATGTTGCATAGCCAAAAAAGAATCAGCATGTGTTTCATAGACTACAGCAAAGCATTTGATGGTATAGATGATGAAAAACGATGGAATTCACTCAATGATATGGGAGTGCCCCTACATCTGATAGCCCTGATGAGGAATTTGTATCAAGGACTAGAGGCCACTGTCAGAACAAAATTTTGGGGAAACAGAGTGGTTCCCAATTGGGAAAGGGGTCAGGCAAGGCAGCATCCTATCACCCTTTTTGCTTAATTTATATGCTGAAAATATCATAAGAAAAACAGAATTAGTATCAGAAAAGGGAGTAGTTGAGATAGGAAGAACCAGCATTAACAACCTAAGATATGCAGAGGACACCATAATATTAGCAGAAGACATTCAGGAATTGGAAGAGTTAATAAGGAAGGTCAAAGAGGAAAGTGCAAAGGCAGGTCTGATGCTGAACATAAAGATAATGACCATGGAAGAAATACACAGATTCAATCAAGACAACGAGGAAATTGAAATAGTTAAAGAATTCCCATATCTAGGATCAAATATTGACCAGAATGGAGATTGCAGTCAAGAAATAAGACAACTAGAAATGGGAAGGGCAACTATGAAAGGCTATGGAAAAGATACTGAAGGGCAAAGACATACAACTGAGCACTAAAGTCAAAATCGTCCAGGACATTGTATTTCCCATCATCCCCATGTACGGATGCGAGAGCTGGACAGTGAAGGAAGCAGACAGAAAGAAAATCAACACATTTGAGATAATGTGGTGCTGGAGAAGAGTCCTTAGGATCCCATGGACAGCCAAGAAGGCCAACAAATGATTTCTTGAACAGATCAGTCCAGGGCTCTCCTTGGAAGCAAAGATGATCAAGTTGAGACTATCGTACTTTGGCCACAGAATGAGAAGACACAGATCACTAGGAAAAACACTAATGCTAGGGAAGGTAGAGGGTAGGAGAAAGAGAGGAAGACCACAAACCAGATGGATAGACTCAATGAGGGGGGTTATTATGGGGAAGGGCTTGCAGGATCTGGGCAAGACTGCAGTGGAAGATAGGGATTCTTGGAGATCTCTCATCCACAGGGTCTCCTGGAGTTGGAACCGACTCAAAGGCAGCTAACACCAACAAATAGTCTGTAGCCACCACATGGCCTTCCCTGAGGCTGAGAGAGTGATACAATGGTGACAATTAGAATAGAACTGAACTGTTGCAAAATTAAAACAGTTCAATTGTTTAAAACTAGAATACAATTAAGAAGATAAAAACATTTAAACTATACACATCAAAGGATGAATAAATGCTGTCACTTCCTCCTCTCTCTGGGAGAAAATAAACACAGTTGTGTGGTATTCTCCCCATATGCCAACATCCCAACCTTTTCTGGAGGCTATTTCTCTGCAGAAAATGAACTTTTTTTTTCCCTGTGCAAAAAATCCCAAAAAACCTACACTTTCTGTGCAAATTTCCTGCTCAGAAAATTCATTTTCTGCATATTTTGTGCAAAGAAAAGAAAAGAAAAAGTGGGGGAAAGCCATGTGTTTCTGTGTGTTGGTTTTGTCAGAGAACGAGCTGTATGGTACACTTTGCAAATCTGTGGCAAATAAGTTTAATAGCTGATAGCTCCCTGAGGGCCTGCCTGACAGTATTATCAATGCAGCTTGACAGAACTACTAACGTCTCCTTGCAAACTGTCAAAGTGTCACAAATTAATTAAATGTTAGCTCTGGATGATTCAGTGCACAGAAGGTGGGAAATGAGGGAAAAGGGGGGCCAGAGTTGTTTGGCATGCTGGAAGAAACAGCAGCAATCCCATTGCTCTTGGATGCAAAAAGGCATGCAGAAAAAGGGCCGTTCTGACCCCAGTGACCCTCCAAAGGATGCCCATGAGGATGAAATCAGGGTGGGCTTGAACAGTTGGACAGACCCTGTCTTTGAGTATCATGGAGACTATCTTGCTGGAATCCTTATGTAGAGAGATCTTGTAGCACCTTTGAGACTAACTGAAATAAAGAAGTTGGCAGCATGGGCTTTCCTTTCTTTTTTTTAATGTTATGTTAACTACAAATAATATGCAAGACAAACAAAAATAATGACCACAGAGAACTTAAAAAAAAGAAAACAAAAATAATGACCACTGAGGATCTTTCCAAGTTCAACCTAGACAATGAAGAAATAGAAATAGTAAAAGAGTTCTCATACCTGGGATCAAACATTGATAGAAATGGGGACAGCAGTCGGGAAATCAGAAGAAGATTGAAGAATGGGGAAGGTGGCTATGAAAGAACTAGAAAAGATCCTAAAAT